TTGTGGTGCTCGAGTATTTTATAAATTCCGGATATAAGTCCCTTGTCTGACATGTCATTACCAAAAACTTTTTCCCAATCTGTGGCTTCCCTTTTAACCCTGTTAGAGAAGTTTCTGGATGTGCATAGGGATTTGATTCTTAGAAGGTCCCAGTATAATTCTTATAAGCAAGATTAAGGGAGCTCTGGTGGCCTGATGGATAAGGAATTGTGCTTCCATCCCAAAGCCAGGCACTTCAAATCCACCAGCTGCTCTGCCGAGGAAAGAGGAGCCATCTCCTGTGCAATTCACAGCCTCTGGAAACTCACTGGACAGTCAGTTATGGTTTGGTTTCAACTCAATAGCACATAATAACAACAACAAAAGCATTATTTTAGACACCCATGATATAGTGGTTAAGCATTTGGTTGTTAACTGAAAGATTGGTAGTTTGAACCTATCAGCAACTCTGTGAGAGGAGAATGTGGCAATATGATTTTGTAAGGATTACAGCCTTGAAATTCCAATGAGGCTAAAACCTCTATGCTAACAGGTGCCTGCACACAGGCAGTGAAAGTACAAAAGAATTAAAAAAAAATTTTGAATTCAGGAGTTCAAAACTCAGGATAGGATGACTGTCAGGTAGATGGAATTTGAAATGATCTTCAGTGAGATTTGTGAAGTTATTTTCAAAAGTTAGGCAATAGGTAAGATATTGCTTTTATGGCCATAAATGTAGAACAGTAAATTTCAGTGACAAAATCTTGAAAATAAAAGTGAACAAGCAAATGAAATAGGCTTCTTGAAAATAAGTTCAGGAAATACAATGAAAAGAAAAGGAATTAGCTTACATACTCTATAGAAAATTCATTAGTGCATTTGTTGAATGTAATTTGCTCTAGAAAATACTTTCTTGATAAAATTTTTTGCTACTATTACTACTATTATTACTAATGTTGCTAGGTGCTGTTGAGTCAAGTATGATCCATAGTGACCCTTTGAATGATAGATCTGAACCCTGTCCTATCCTGTGCCGTCCTCACACTTCCTGACACATTAGAGTCCATTGTGGCAGTCACTGTGTCAATTTACCTGGTCGAGGGTCTTCCCCTTCACTGACCCTCCACCCTTCCCAGCATCATGTTCTTTCCAAGGAATAGCCCCTTCTAGCAACACGCCCAAAGTATGTGAGGTGAAGCCTCATCAACTTCGCCTCCTAAGAGAACTCTGGCTTTACCCTCTCCAAGATATACAGAAAATACTTTCCTGTTAAAATTTATCACTACTATTAGATTTCTGGTTAAGTGTTTATATTTATGAACCCAGAGTCATTATGACCTGTGGGTCAAAATAACTAGCCGAAATGATCCTGCATGTAGTTAACAATACCTTAACTACACAGTAAACATTGAATTTATATAATGAAATTTACATGTCTGTAGGAAAAATGATTCCAGCAGGGAGTCTGGGATAGAAACAGATGCCAGGCAAATGACAGCCTTGAAATCCTAATGGAGCAGTTCTGCTCTGTCCTAAAACTAGCCTAACAACAGCACGTAGGCAGCAAAAGTACAAAGGAATTAAAGAAAAAAAATTGAATTCAGGAATTCAAAACTCAGGATAACTAGCAGGATAAATTTAAATAGTTCAGAGGTCAAATAGCAAGAAAGTAATTCTGCTCTAGAGAGAAAATAAATAGGAAAACACCAGAAAATATGTTTTTGCTAGGTGCTATTGAGTTGACCACAACTCAGTGATGCCCAATGAGCAACAGATAGGAACCTTGCCCTCTCCTGGGTCATCCTCACCATCTCTGCCAGGCTCAAGCCACATCCACTCTGTTAATCCATCTCATAGAGGGTCTTCCTGTCTTTCTCTGAGCCATTACTTTCCCCAGGATGATGTAGGAAATAGAGCTGTGTTATAAAATCAAGAGCAAACTCAATATTCAGGTGATTTTTTTCTATGTGTATTTTTCACCAGATTCAGTTGAGCTGGTAGGTACATGGAGTTTAGGAATGGATGAATCTGTTGACTGCTTCGCTTCCAAAACCCACTGCATTCTGAGCTAGTTTCCCAGGCAACACCAAATGTACTGCCCTCTGGATATCTTCTGGGGTGAGGGTGCACCGATTTCGGAAATACAACACATTGGCTGCCTCCATGGCAATGCGCTCAAAGATGCTGTTGATCAGACTGTTCAGGAAGCCCATGGTGTGAGATGATATGCGTTTGTGGGGAACAACTTCCTTTTGGACCCTTTTCACATACAGCGAGTAGTTTCTGTAGCCAGATTCAGAGTTGGAATGAAAGCTTCTCTTGGATGATGTACTTAGATGTCTTCTGGGGCGCTTGTGCTTTCTAATGTTGAATTTGGCCATGGTAGATGTTCCCCTTCTCAGCCCAGAATGGAGAGGTGAAAGGTCTAAGATTAGAGGGAGTGCTCCTATTTATAGTGCTTTGTCACAATTGGCTGCTGGCCTTCTCTCTGATTGGAAGTTACTCTTCCTATGTCACAATCTCCAAGCGACAGCATTGGTTTGCTATTGAGGGCATTTTAATCCCCATCTTAACCAACCAAAAGCTTCCCTAAGAAGACAAAGTGAATGTTAATGAAAGAATTGAGGGCATAGAGGAGGATTATGGACTGGCCTAATAAGCAGAACTGGCATCCACTTCTGAAATGAGAATGCTTTGAAAATTCTATGGAAGAACATAGTGTCTACTTTTTATTTTTTTTATTATTAAATTTTATTAGTTTTA